ATATACAACAGTATACGTGGCAAACCGAGGTACTAGTTGATAATAATATAGACATATGTAATACAACTTGTTCTTTACTGTATTTCAGATTGTCCCATCATTTGTGACTTACAATAGAGGAGTTTTTATCTATGATGGGACACCATTGCCGGATGATAGTGATACAATACCCAGTTACCACTACCTACTGAATCTGTACCCTTGCTAAAAGATGCCAGTGATCAACTGCCCTATTGACGGCTGTACATACGCCACCCCTGAAATGGATACCATTGTGGCTGTAGCTCCACCCATGCAACAACCCATAAAGCCACCGCTCCACCTGCTGCTATTGCGAAGGTTGGAAAAGTTAAACGACCAACCATATCATTCGTCGGCACCAGTGAGGACTGGTCATATTTCCTATCCAGATGGACTGACTATGTTGAAGCCACCTAGGTTTCCGGCAAGGACAGAGTGATTCCACTATTAGAGGGTTGCGATGAGCACCTACGAAAGGATCTTACTCATACTGCTGGTGGAACATTAACGAATAAATCTGAGGCAGAATTTTTCAGGCCTATGAAGACACTCGCTGTGAGAGAGGAAAATACTATGGTTGCTTTGGTTATTCTTCACAATATGCGCCAAAACAGTGACGAACCGATTCGTCGCTCATTTGGTGCCCGGCTCCGTGGCCAGCCAGGAGCCTGCACATTTGTTATCAAGTGACCTAGTTGTAATGACAATGTTGACAATACAGAGGCAGTCCTTCGTGATGTACAAAGCCGAGGCTTAGAAGACAGTGAAATCCAGCTCGATCTCCTGGGCGACAACAATCAGGAGATGATATTGGAGGAAGTATTTAAATTTGTGGAGGCCAAGGAATCTGGTAACCGCTCCGCCTCACGCCTACTGGACACTCACTGCGATTGTGCAGAAGCAGCTTGTAGCTCATACAAACGTGGAGTAAATTACACTGTGAAAGACCGCAATCGACGTGAACATAAGAAGACGGACACACATGAGTTGTGTTCCTACTGAGGAAAGAAAGGACATGATATTCGTTCGTCTACAAATATCAGGAAGAAAGAGTGTACAGCGTATGGTCACACATGTAAACATTGTTGAATCAACCACCACTTAAACAGTAAGTGCAGGAAAAAAAGCAAATCGGAGACTACGACAAAATCATCTGCTGAATATGAAGGTGCTGTGTTCGACTCCCTCTGCGCTATCAACAGCCTTGGTCAGCACCGTGGTAGTAAGGCCATTACGCTGGACCATCACCTCTACAACCAGATGTCTGATACTTGGGTGAAATGTTCCTCCAAACCACAACTATTTGTCAACCTGACTGTGGGAGTCTATCACGAGGACTATGATGCTGTGTTTGCCACCACGACAATCAGATCTAGTACTGCGGATCTGACCTCCGCGAACTGGTTTTCCGATGTAGATATGCGTTCAAGGTTGCCCAACGAATGTCTCAAAAGTCTTTCAAGCATAACGGTGTTGGGATTTTCTTGCTGCAACTGTCGTCCTACATTTCTTATATTTCTTTCGAGTGCTTCCAAAACGCTGCTACTATCTCTCGCCATAGTTCAAAGTATTTTTTCTCACTGCATCCGGTTTGAAAAGTAGGCTATGGGAAATGGTACTTCCCATTCATCAATAGGTGTGGTAAGGTGATGCATTATTCTTTACGATATTTCAAATGTTTCATTTCATTAAAAAAACTCCACTTAATTGTAAAAGATTTTGCATTATGTTAGAACAGAATGGTACGGAAGAATGTTTTTTCGACTTACTAACTCGAAATTTCAAGATAATAACTCGAAATTTCGATATAATAACTCGAAATTTCGACTTAATTACTCGAAATTTCAAGATAAGGATTTTCATATGGTGGGGCGACCTGGCGTTTAGGAAGGTGGCACAGGGGCGAAGCAACGGTGGGGCTTAAGGGGGAGGGAGGGGAGCTATACCTACCGAAGCTGTTGGAATACAAATAGATGAATATTTTATTTTGTATTTTTTTTCTTTAATTTGAGCATGCATGGTCAATGCAGATTAACTGGTTTCGCCTAAAGCATAGAAGGGTCAAACGACCTATGATTGAAATCTAGAAGCACTTTGGTGCAATCTTGGGAATTTTAAAATGTATTAAAGCTTAATAATTTAACACAGTTTGATGTACTTTGGATTTTATTTAAACCAGATTCTGCCCAATCCGGATCTTTTGTGTAAACCGGCCAAATTATTTGGACTTTAACTATTTTACATTATTGTTTTAAAAACTCCGGACTAATAAACCTGCTTTGTTTCCCTATCTAATACTCTCTATACATGTACAGTATTTAACATACTTACTTTTAATCTACATCACCTTCTGCTCTAGTTCTGCTCATCTTCAACTTTCACCAACAAAAATTATACAGGAAAAAGAAGATATTCACAAGAAATATTCGTTTATCATTTCAATTATCGCCATCGATATGAAAAATTGATTATAAAGATAATGTATTATGATATCCGGGAGAGTTGAAAGTAATTGGTCAACTGTTAACTTTGCTGTCTAGTGATAAGGGTTGTACTAGACTAGGACGTGTTGTGTTGCCGGTTCACAGAGAGTTTATTTATTAATGTTAAGAAGGTATAAGACAAGGAAACAGAGCCGGTTTACAGAATGAGTTCGAAGTTTAATCAATAAAGCTATAGAATTAAAGACCAAATCCAGATTGAACAGATTCTAATTTCAACAGGTATAATTATCTTGAAATTTGGAGTTATTATCTCGAAATTTCGAGTTATTATCTTGCAATTTCGAGTTATTAAGTCGAAATTTCGAGTTACTATCTTGAAATTTTGAGTTAGTAAGTCGAAAAAACGATTTTTTTTCTACGTAACCATAACTCTTCCGTAGTAATGGCCATTTATTTAAGTGAAATTCTTTTTACCTTAATGTAAATATACATTTATTTGCATTATGTTTAATTCCACTTCAGTGAAAAAGAATTTCACTTAAGAGAAATTCTTTTTAAGGTAAATAAACCATTTTCATTATGTGTTTTTTCACTTAGGTGAAAAAGAATTTCACCCAAGGTAAAAAGAATTTCACTTAAGTGAAAAAGTATTTACCTTAAGTTGAAATATTATTAAATGTTAAAACGGCTTGCCATACACTCAGCTAGTTATTTGATTGATATCAGGTAAAAACAAAACCTGACCAATCGCTAAGACTGATACCTGGCCTTTGAAAATTACACAGGAGCGATACGCTACTTCAAAGACATCCAATTTTGCCGTTATGCGACAAACAGATTTTTTTGATGTACATCAAAGGATCAAACTAGTCTTCCCGACTCATCCACAAGGAAGTGCACACATTCAGCCTTCGATTTTGCCATGACATATTCCAGGGGTGCAGATAGCGAAGTGAGCGAAACCCCTGGATATCGAGGACGGGAAAGGTCCAGTACAGAGCTTCCTAATTAAAGTCTTTAGTATTTAGTAATTTAGTATCGGCTAATAAAGAATCTGAATCTGAAACCTCACACTTCTGTTACGTAATGGATATCAAACACCAGTTGTGTATGAATCCTCACCGAGGTACCCGAAAACAGGCAACAGACGTCCGACTGCATGTAGTTCTGAACTTGTTAAGTGAAATTGTTATAATGGACATTGTATTAAGAAGCATGTCGTATAATGTCCATCGTGATCAATTTCTGCCCTTCGGTTTAAATATTCTAATCATAAAGCTTGACTTTGACGTTTGTGCTACAAATAGATATTTGTTCAAAATTACCAAAATCTTAAGAGCTGAGACTGTTATCATTGGCAGATCATTGGATCATAAATTGACATTTTGAAACTATTTTTTTTTAATTATAGAAATGAACTGTTAATAATGGTGGACTACAAACAGTAATGTAGGTTTATCTTATTTAAATATATTAATGATTACCAAACAGATCAAAAAATAAATCAAATAAATTCAGGTCAAGCGGGCCAATCAGATTGCTTCAGTTACGTGCTGTTAAAAGTGAGGAGTTCATTCCGTTAGGGATCAGCGACATCCTCCGGTAGATAGGGGGACATAATCACGTGTTCTGACGCTTTTGTAAAACTCCTTCATTAGTTAAGTTATGATGGTTTGTTAACTTTGAAATATGCATTATCCAAGTAAAAAAATGAATAAAAAATAGAGTTTGTCAGCGAAAAATAAAAATTATCGTCCTAAATTAATTACATTTTGAGGTAGTTATATGACTGTCTATGAAGTACCCCGTATCAGAGCAAGGGGCGGAGGTCATTAAGTTTATATTGTTTGAGAAACGGTATATGGGAAAGGATACGTATTGAAACGTAGTTATTCATTTGTTCCTGTGATGTGCATCAAACAAATCCAGCGGGAGCTTTACGGTAAAATTGACCGCCATTGAAGTCGGTTCTCGCTCCTCTGTAATCTTCAAAGAAAAGGTATCAGCCTAGCGATAGTCATGCTTTTTAACCTGAGCCAATCAAAGAGCTAGCTATGTGCCTTCAATTTTTCTATAACATAGTCCAAGGGTGCAGAGAGCGTAAGTGAGCTGACCGCTGAAGTATCGAGATTGTACAGGATGTAAAATGGATAAGGTACTTGCAGAGAGAATATGGTGTATATGTATGTGGGGCAGATAGAGTATATTTAGAAGTGCCGAACAGATGTAGGTTTGGTCGAGATAAGACTTCAAAATAGCTAGCGGAATCGCATTTACCAAATTGGTAATATAATTGATTTGATATTATCGTTATTTCAAAACGGAATAAGTAAAGAAAGAAAAAATCAAAATGACTAATCAGAACCAATGTTCTGTTGGCAAATATAGAAATGGATGGCATGACTCTATGTCATATACCATTAGCATTACTCTTACAGCTACATGTATCGTATGAAAATCTTGTAGTAGACTGTGATCCTGATAACTCGACCTGGGAAACGGCCACATGGCTTTGTCGTGATGACTGGTCATTCACGGACCGGCTATATCAGTCATTCCCCGACGGAGTAGATTACGGTCAAACACAGATCCGATCGGCAACATGCGAGTCTTAATAACAGCGCTTCTGGTTTGTATTGCTTTGGGTGAGTATACATTGATGAAATAATAATCATAGTAGAATACAACATTTGTAAAGCGCCCTATAGAATTAGCAAAATTACTCTAAGGCGCTTTATAGCACATGCATACTACATGTAGTATCCTTACAGCGACAATTATGAAATACTTAAATAGATCTTACTGTTATTCGGTTTTCGTCCAAACTTTATATATAATTCATTTATTTCATTGTAATTATGAAACACGTTTAATCCACATAGTATAATCACTATTCATGATCCGAATGGATGCGCGCAGAAAGGGACTTAATGTGTGGGGGGAAGGGGGGGGGGGGGGAGTACATAGAAAAAAAACAGCTACGGAAATAGCTAATGAATATAATGGGGAATTCCAGTGATGCGGTATACCCGAGGACCCTCTCACTAGTTCAGCAACGCGAGCGTGATCAGAAGTTGGATGGGTGACCGCCCCGCACGTACATAACACACGTACATTACACAACGCGTACGAAAATACCAACGTGTCAACCAAACTAGAATTCATACTCTTAGTTGCTAAAACTAAGGTAAAGTACGAACAATGAAAGATTTACGTTCAGATCCTTGAAAAAGAAAGATTTTGTGGGAGACCAGGTATTAAACAAGTGTAGCTGAATTGATCTGTCGTCATTTTGTACATGTATACCTACTAGATATGCATACGCTCATAACGTAGCATTTGGCTGATGAAGTGGTTAATCATCGACACACCGGACCCAAAGTATTTCCGGGTTGTGATATATGGACTTTAATATAATACATAAATTCTAATCTGAAGAACTGTTTAGAAATGTAAGCACAAAGCACGTACGAGGTGGTGTCAAAAAAAGAAAGCTTAGACAAAAAAAAGTGACACATACAAATAACTTGATGTATAGAGACATGCATATAACACATGTAAGTTTGAATATTAGGTGTTCGGTAGATATGGTAACTCCTAGACACACCGACAATATTAGGTGTTCGGTAGATATGATAACTCCTAGACACACCGACAATATTAGGTGTTCGGTAGATATGATAACTCCTAGAAACACCGACAATATTAGGTGTTCGGTAGATATGATTACTCCTAGACACACCGACAGTAAGGGACAGAAAGGTCACGCGAGCGAGAGTTCTACAGGCCGAACGATTACCAAGTCGCGGTGGCCAGGTGGTTAATGCGTCTGACATTCAGCTACCACTAGCCCTCCACCACTGGGTCGCGGGTTCCAGGCCTACGTGGGGCAGTCGCCAGGTGCACGTGCTGGCCGTAGGTCGGTGGTGGCACGCCCTTAAATGACCATAGCTGTTAATAGGACGTAAAATCATGTGACACTGTAGGGGACATGAACAAACACGTGTACATGGAGAGTATAGGTGAACGAGCGTTCGACACGACGTTAAATTGAACGTCTTATAGTGAAAACCTCACAACGGAACAGCAACACACGTACGGATGCAGTTTTGAATAATACTGTACTGACTAAGTGGGTATTAGCATGTTACATCTCAAGAGAGGAGCTTTCTTATAGTGATAAAACGTTGCTCACTAAGGGTCTGAACACTGCCAGCGTTCCAGAAAGAACGACAGAGCAAGCTTGTAAGATACTGCGCCGTGCTGAGACAGATCAACTGAGATCCAAGGTGACGGGGATTTTGAAATAAAAAAAAATACCAACAAGTAATATTACAAAGGAAAAGAGAGACCTACTTAAAAAGATCAGGTAGAGATACACCTATAACGATATTATCAACTGATAAGGCTAAGACAACAGTTGTCATGGACACCGGCGATTATGAGGACAAGGTCGTGACAATGCTACGGGACAATAAAACATGTCAACAACTTCCGACTAATCCAACTCTGAAGTTTAAAGGCGCCTCATAGTCATCCTGTCTTAATTAAACCAAAACCCCAAGATAACCGAATACCAATACAGATACTTGTACCTATGTTCCACTACAGAGTACACCCCTCGAATATACTGTACGACAGAAATCCACAAACAGGGGAACCCACTGAGAAACATCCAGCGGAAGCTATGTCAACGATCATGAATCAAACAGACGGATTACTAATGTACACAAAGGTGTAAAATGTGTTCAGGTACGAGTTGTAAACAATCAAACCCACGTCGATTCGATTACTGGTTAATGGTTAATTCACACCCCTGCAGATAGAGGATCGGGAAAAGAATACACTTGCTGTTACCCACTGCATGTATCGTAAGAAGCGACCAAAGATGAAACACCCTGCGTTTTACTTTGGTGTCCTCTATTTGTGGACACAAAAGCGACCAAAATAAATCTGCACCCATTGCAATATTAAGGATCTGTATCCTTCTTTTTACTTCTAACTACCTATTATTTCCTAACGCCTTACTTGGCAACACCTCACTTATGGCTTTAGTGTTGAGCGTTCGCCCAGGTGAGGAAGGCAATGGTTCTATCCCCAGGTCGGGACATACCAAAGTCCTTAAAATGATAGTTGTCATACCCTGCTTCACGTTCAACATTACGGGGAATGGCTACAAATGGTTTACCCATTGTCAGTATAATGTGACCTTCAGCACTATAAAATCGGCATCAGATCCGCGCTATCACATGGAGGCAAGCAAAACAAAATATCCTGTCTACTGCACATATACACGCAAGCACGCATACACTACACATTGAGGCACGTCCTTAAATGTCCTTAGCTGTAACAAAATAAAAATCAAATCAAATGGTTGATTCAATGAGTAAATATAACGGACAACATTTGTCAGTTTCATTTAGTCAAAACCTAAGGAGAAATAAAAGTATGTGTAGATGTTTCAAGGCGACGGTTCCACTGATCTTTCCGTGAGTTAGACGCAGTAAATAGTTTCACCCTACCGTACTCTGTTTGCCAATGGGTAAAGCTAGCGACTTAACGTACCGTGTCTGGATTTCAATAGAATAGAACTGATGTCAGATATACCGTGGCACAAAATCTTTCACTACCCTTGTTTATCTGGAATAATTTGCGCCCTATTGTTGAATGTCTTTTTTGAGTTGCAATCAGTTATCATGATGTTATATCAATGACTGTGAAATACATTGTTCCGACATTTCAGAACTAAAAAATGGTCATGCTAAAACTAGTGTACTAATTGATTCTTTGAATCATGTACAATCAATATTCGCCATTTGCAGACAAATCCACACCCATCTGAGTTACATTATAAACACCAGGTACTCGGCAATTAACGAATACATTGTCTATCCAATTTTATTATCAATCTTTCTTATTTTATTTCATTGTTGTAGCTTTATGCCAAGCAGCAGTAAAGCGTGCATTCCCCTGCACGATAGCCTTGGACTGTAAAGCTTCAGTTGACACTTGTGAGGATACCACCCATCATTGGTCGTGTTTACACCATCTCTGCGCGTGTCAATCACATGGATCAACATCTGCTCCCAACGCCAGGCCCCACGAAGGTTCACGTAAGTAATACCAATACATTAATAATAAGCCGTCATTGTTTATCTTTGTGATACAGTATGGTAATATATATGTGTAGTAGATTAAAATTATGTTTGAATTAAACAATAAAGTGAAATATGATATTTACAGCATGCTCGGACAAAGACGAGTGTAGGATGGATAACTGTCCGCACGACAATGAACATTGCTATGACGGTGCCTGCAAATGCACACACATCAGCGACGTACGTATACCTTATGTCACAATGGCAGTATTTACACATTACTTTAATAGACATCTTTGTACTTTTACCCTTGGTAAGACATCTCTGTACGTTTTACCCCTTGTTATACATCTCTTTATCTTTTACCCTTTGTTATACATCTATGTACGTTTACCCTTTGTTATACATCTATGTACGTTTTACCCTTTGTTATACAGCTCGGTGTGTTTTACCCTTTGTTATACATCTATATACGTTTAACCTTTGTTATACATCTCTGTACATTTACCCTTTGTAAGACATCTCTGTACGTTTTACCCTTTGTTATAGATCTATGTACGTTATACCCTTTGTATGACATATCTGTACGGTAACCCTTGGTTATACATCTCTGTACGTTTTACCCTTTGTTATACATCTATATACGTTTACCCTTTGTTATACATCTATGTACGTTTACCCTTTGTTATACATCTATGTACGTTTTACCCTTTGTTATAGATCTATGCACGTTTAACCTTTGTTATACATCTCTGTACGTTATACCCTTTGTAAGACATCTCTGTACGTTTTACCCTTTGTTATAGATCTATGTACGTTTTACCTTTTGTTATACAGCTCGGTATGTTTTACCCAATGTTATACATCTATGTACGTTTTACCCTTTGTTATACATCTCTGTACGTTTACCCTTTGTTATAAATCTATGTACGTTTTACCCTTTGTTATAGATCTATGTACGTTTTACCTTTTGTTATACAGCTCGGTATGTTTTACCCAATGTTATACATCTATGTACGTTTTACCCTTCGTTAGACAACTCGGTACGTTTTACCCTTTGTAAGATATCTCTGTACGTTTTATCCTTTGTAAGACATCTCTGTATATTTTAACCTTTGTTATACTTCTCTGTATATGTTATCCTTTGTAAGACATCTCTGTACGTTTACCCTTTGTTATATATCTCTGTACGTTTACCCTTTGTTATACATCTCTGTACGTTTACCATTTGTTATACATCTCTGTATATTTTAACCTTTGTTATACTTCTCTGTATATGTTATCCTTTGTAAGACATCTCTGTACGTTTTACCCTTTGTTATTCATCTCTGTAGGTTTTACCATGTCTAATTTTATTACGCTACAAGTCACACACTGTATTTTATATACACTGCTATAAACTGAATGCAGGTAATACATTTATAAGAGTTAAGAAATATTATGGAAGAAAATAATCGTTAACTTCGCCTTTGTCAATATCTCTTTTCCAGGTTCATATCACATCATATTCACCAGCACAAAAGTACATAATTGTATTAATATTAATACCTTGTTATGCAGTGGCATAAAGCCATCACGTAACCTATGTTTATGCAACGTGTGTAATATCACTCCGGAAATGACGTCACAATTGAATAGGAACAATCAATGTGATGTCACGTCATTGTGAAGCGGACGCAATTTTCATCGTTTCAGTGGCCGCCAACTGCAAGATTAGTTTATATTATATGATAAAAAGAATCTGTCATTCGTTTCCCTTAATATTAGATTTATGATACTAGTTTTGGATTTCCCCATGAAAAATCGAAAACTTGTATCCTAAATCTGATATGAAGGTTAACTTATGACAGATCATCTATATCGATGCTCTTTTTTCTTTTCTTTCTCTCTACTAGTATAAACTTGACATAGCTATATGTATTAACTGAAGACAAGGTCTCGTGGTTACTATGGTTACTCAGAAATACATCACTTCTCCTCTTTCTTTCGTTTCAGGAACACCATCACGGATAATCATCGCTCTTCCTTCCTAATAAATCTGCGATCCGAACTTCTGTTGTTATTGTTTTAGTAACATGTACGTAAGCATTTGTTTTTTTATGAAGGCGATAAAATAAAATAAATTCTCACTGCATCTGTTACTCTTGGATTCTGCCGGCTGAAATGAACAGGAAGGAGAGGTTACCGTCTCGTATATTTATTTTATTTCAGGAACATTCTAATCTACAAACAATAAATTATACAGGCTTGTTACATTATAAACTTGCTTAGGATAGTAAAGCAAATTAACTGGCTTAATATATCTGTCTAGGGAAATACATTTGAAAGAAATGACAAAATGTGACTAAGTGTGACAAGAGATGTGACTAAGTGTGACTAGAGATGTGACTTACTGACGTAAGTGACTAAATCTATACGGTTAGCCAACCTGAACAAAATGTGACTATAGGATAACTTGACAGTCCTATAATACACTTACAATAGTGACTTCAAATATGTGACTAAAAAGAGTTAGTCACATATTGACAAAACTTCTCACTTTTCACATAAAACATGTCACATGTCAGTTAAATGATAACTATTAGCATTACTACATCAACAATCTATTACAGATCTATTGTAAATGACAATTATTGAACAATTATTAATTGCATTAAACTCTAACACAAGGCTACCAATTTATCACAAACCGAACAAAGAAAACTATCAGTTCATGTATCAACCTATGGTAAAGACAAAGTATCAGTCAAATAATCGAATTCCTCCTATCAGTCTCTATCATACTATAAATTGTTAAGTATTAACAATTTCAATCAATGGTTACTCTTATCATAATGAGTAATGCCAATATGTGGCATTCCTGTCCATTAATACACATCCGAGACTGTGCTCAATTTACATCCTATAACAATCTCTATTTCGACGAACGTCTAAAGGGAGATAACTCGTAATAACAAATTACTTGGCAAGTTGATGCCTCCATCAATATGATCGTAAAATGTAAACACACAAGTTCATACCAAGTTATAGACATCTTTCATCTCGAAACATATTCTGAATCATTTTTACCTATTTAAGTAACGATTAAACCTCCAAAAATCATCAGATAATGACAATGTAGCACCGCAACGTTTTGGCGGGGAAAATGGCCGACCATGCCGTTTTCACCAACACAACCCTGCAGGTCCTATATCTCGTATTTCATAAGAATTATTCCAAAATACGCAACATTATTTGGCAAAAATGTGAATCAACACTTTGTGAACAAATCTACCTACATGTGAAAACATATCACATAGTTTAACTCTGGAACTTACCTGAAATGAACAGGAAGGAGAGGTTACCGTCTCGTATATTTATAAAATTTCAGGAACATTCTAATCGGGTATGCGCACGCATCCTAGCATCCTCATCCCTACATTCGGAGTTATCTCTCTTTATGCAATACCCGTACCCGTTACATAATAGTTGTACCATTATAATCTATATAAAAAAAGGTACCCTAAATATTCCTAAAATACCAGAGTAACACATCCAGATATTAATCAACACAAGCTGCCAAAAGCAGGAACAGAGCAGACATCAAAACTAAATGAAGACGGAGCTATGTTTACCTACCTGCGAGCAATACCTAAATGTGTCATATACATGTATTTAAAGAATATTTTACAGCTATACATCAATGTGTCACAGACAAGTTATTGCTATTGACTTATATAATTACTTAATGCGTCATTGAGTTATAAAATACCTCAATACCTCAATAGCTATTTCTTACCTCCTAAAATATCACGTGTAGCACGGGTACTGCAGTGTAAACCACTGTTGCGCACGACATGAAGAACAAATGTCGTCTGTAGTGTTTTCGAACTTTTATTCAGTACGGCAAAAAGACCCTGAAAGAAATTGACAAATAATGTTATACTTGACATTAACTCTAATTCAAGAAAGGTGGCCTTAGCCCCGCGCTTACATGCGTCTCAAAAGTATTTAAATTACAACCAGGACGTCAACACGCTTTACTACGGATGATCCGCATTAGAGCGTAGCATTGACAATAGTTCATGCCGAGACCAATCCTGGCCTAGGAGGAGTAAGGGCGTATACCTACCAGTATTTAGTGTGTGTGTGTGTAGGGGGGGGGGGGGGGGGGGGGGATACACATGTGCATGAACATTCGTTTGTATATATATATATATATGCTTGTCTAAATTTACCTATTCATAAAAATAAGGTTTTTTAACAAAAATTGTTCATCTAAGAATAAAAGTATCGTACAACTAGGCCTATTGTATACCAAAATTATTTTGATTATAGAAGGACTAGGTCATGAACTACCAGTGACAACAATATCAATCCAAAACATGTGGTTGTACATATTCAAAGAAGGAATCAAATGATCATATGGTCTGTACATCAGTATTCATGGCTATGTGTTTAGTCTAATCATTATGACTCAAAACTGACAGAATAGAAGCAAATATTTGTTCCAGTTCAGATGGAATGAATATTTAATAAACAGAGAAAATGTTTGGAAAAGATTCGTTGGTTTATTCCTTTTCAAGATGACAACCAAAACATTCATTTTACTGACTAACCAGTTGTAAGATTCCCAGACAATGTTCTTGCAATATCAATGGAATTCAAAGATTGTATGTTTGTTTGTTACTTTATTTTTATATATTTATTAAAGTTAGACGTCGTAACAGCTGATGACATTTACAATGACATTTACAGACAATGTTTTGCAAGATGCAAGAGTATGATATGTATTCGAATGACAGACTTGAAACAAAACAGAAAGAGGGAATAAATGATGCAAGGCTTTGAGTTTGTTTTCGTACTGATGATTATAGATTCATAAGAAAACAACTCATTTCAAACTTTGTCGGAACTTATTAGTCCTTGGGTGCAACCGTTTTGAATTTTGAAGATTGCTATGATAGCCAAGATGATTGTATGAGCACACATTCCCGTAGTTCTTTGACCAACTGGGCATTGGCAGTAGTAATCTTTTATTTGATTATTATCATTTGGTGTTGTGCTGTATTGAAGTCTGGCTTTTGTGTCTGGAACAAACCTAAAAACGGATGAGGTCTTGAGAATGCAGATTCACCAATATTTCATAATCTTTACGAATTCTGACTTTGCTTTCTTGGAGAGAGCTGATTGTTTTCACTCTATGAGCCAAACAGTTTGTTTTTGAAAATTAATTTGCGAGTTCTCTAACTTTTCTGTCAGTTTCCGATGATCTTTGATAAATTGGTCCCTGTATCCAATTGAGACATGCAGTCACAATCTTTAGCACTTCCTCAATTAAAGCAATGAAGCAATTTGATATTGATTGAATTCTAAACAATATTCAATGCATCAGACGGCCATAAAAAGACTCTACAATCCATCGGGATTTAGAAACTGTTCTGTCACTGTTAGCATGTAGATCAGAGTGTTGTCTCTGACCAGTCTTAAGATATGAGTGTATACTGATATTAATACCAGATGCCTCTAACATTGGCAGGACATCTGTAAAACCACGATCAACGACTACATTGTCGTCTTGCTCCAACCATGTGAGCTTGTCTTATGTTTTTGTAATGCTTGCATCATTTTGGCTTCCAGAGAATAGTCCTGCTGTGTCCAAAATGTAGCCATCAGGTAGAGTTATGCTCATGAATTTAAGATAATTACGCTTCTTCTGGCCACCGTAAGACATTCTCTGAAGCTTATTGACAGCGCTTTTTTGAATATATATATATATATGTTTCTGAGAATAAAGTTTTGTGTGGAAGTATATGTTCCCTACTCAAATGGTCAGGACAAAGGAACACTGGAACTGCAGATTTAGTCAATGCTTGTGCAACAGAATAAACGGTTTTTGAAATACTAGGAAGGGATCGCGAAAAGACAAAAAGAGCAGAACACTTAATTACAAGAGATATCCGTTTTCATCTTAACCAAAAAGAGTAAAAGAGCATTTCTACTGAAAAAGAACGAATTGGGACCAAGCTTTGCAGTCGTGGTTATTCAAGAGACAAAAATTGAGAGTGAAGGCTGATTGATCTTTGATAAGATGTACGACATTTATAAAAGGTCATCAATTATTTCAGATTACCTACTTAATAATTGAGAATTCAAAGACTTTCTTCCTTGTAGGATAACCTGTGTTCAGGTCATTGCCAATAAGATGAAATGAGCATTCAGGTGATGACAATTTGTGTGTGAAAAGTAATTGATGCATGGCACGTTTTTGCAGAAATGTGGATTTGCTTCCCTTCAAATTAAAATTGTTAAAAGAAGACAACATTGTGTATGTGAACAGGACTCGTAAAACAGGTCCTTGAAGAGAGGAAAACGTCTAGTAGTTTCATCTTCAAAACGTTTTGTTTCAGATTCTCTTTTACGCAGATACCTTATGTAGCACTTCGGAAAAATACTAACTTCTTCATTTGAGCAATATATGCCACTTTTAGTCAGTATATACAATAGCCATTAATATTATAGTTGTTGTTTTTACATTTCGTGTACCTTTACATTTTCGAGATTTTGCGAAGAAACGATGGCGACCTTCACCAATACATTTATTCTTCATTATGAGATAAATATTAACAAATGAGTATGAAATATCCCCCAAAAGCAATGTAAGAACGAAAGTCTGATGATAAATGTATAAAAAAATGATAACAAAATGTATAAGAACAAATTCTAAAAAGTGTCACGGATATTACATTCGATCTCTTAATTGATTGTTAACAAACGAATTACCAATCACGCCAAATGATGATTGGAACTTGTTGTGACCTAACATGCGCTGAAAGGTTTATCGTAGGCTTGCAACGAATTGCATTACCTATTACCTTTAATCAGGTGCGTTGCTTTTTGGTGGACGCCAGGGAGGTGTCTTAGGCCCTTACCTTTTTAACATAGCTGGAAATAGTCCCTTTAAGTTTCAACGCAAATATTAATTAAAGAGTATTCGTCCTCTGATCCAAAATCTTATTGTAGACTAATTAAACGGTTAATGAAATCAACTGGTACTTCACAATCTACACCTACT